ACTCTGTTACCTTGTCAACACATAAGCAAAAATTTTATAAAGAATGTTTTTTTTTTCATTTAGGCCTTCGTTTTTTGTTAAATGAGTGATATATTTAAAAAAGACGACTTTTTAACTAAATTTTTGAAGGGCTAAAACCAAGATATTTACGTTTATATTTTTTTTCGGCCGTAAGGGCTAATGCAAATGATTTTTTTTAAATAAGTATGAACAATTACTCCCTACAAAGATTTTATTGTGCATTTGATCAAAAAATTTATATTTTTTTCTCTATTCGGTGGTATCAATATCTGGATTTTTGATGATAATGCCCTTCTGCACACTCTAATTTTGTATTAACTCCGGAATAAGGGTTACCTTATCATGACCTTTCATCTGTGAAAAATTCAGCCTTGTGACAAAAGAGTGGGAAGTGAATCGTTTTCTTGAGCGAATATTTTAATACGTCATACACTTTACTAACAATGACAACAGCGGATATTATGTCCTACTGTGTCCCTTAGAATATGTCTTATTCACGGCCGCACGATATTTGTTAGTAGTCCTGGTTATCTCTGATTTTATATCTAGTCTAGTCATCATTACTATAATAATTTTCATCAATTTCACGAACCAATCTCACTAAGTTGTAAGTAAACACATTAATTTATTGTTCATCATTCAATTTTAACTCTGTCCTTTAGTAAATATTTCTAAATAAGATAAATGTATTCACCGAGTAAACATACTGTTTTGCTGCAAACCCAATAACTAGATTATTCTTAGATAGGTCAGTCAAACAAGGGCCTTCTGACTGGAAATAAAGAACAGGTTATACAGTGAACGACTAAATAATAATAATAATAATATAACTTTATTCATGTAGGTATACAATACAATATAATATAAATAATTTTAGAAACAATTAAACATTATTTACAAGAATAAAGTAAGAAGCAATAAGTACGTGAGTACTTGTTTCGCTGTACACAATATACACTATTATCTAATTATCCTAATTACATGAATTAATTATTCTAATTACGGTAAAAAAAAAAAAAATAAAATATATATATATAATTATATTTATTTAATAATAGAAGAAAATAGATAATGTTAATGTTATATCCAAGTAAGTATGTCTAATCTGGCTAGTTTTGTCAAGTCATGTAAGTATGTATAATCCGGGTAAGTGTTTCTTATTTTGGAAATAGCAAAATTCTAATTTTTTTTTTTAATAACATTTCATAAGTTTTTTTTTTTTTTTTTTTGTTAATAGATTTTGGAATTTAGGTAAAACTTATCCTAAAATATTAGATATGAATTGTCTGTGGTTTTCCATTATAAACAACTTCAGCTTTGTTTTAAACAAATTTTTATTATTTATTCTTTTTAGTGTTTCAGGCAAAGTATTGTAACATTTTAAAGCGACATAAGAGTATGCTCGTTGAGAAATTGATTTTTTAACTATTATTGGGTAAGTGTGAAGATTGTAATTTCTAGTGAAGTGGTGGTGTTCGCGATTGGTAGTTTTTTTATTTCCAAAATGGTATTTAACATTGGTACTAAAAAAGAGAAGTTGTTTGACATCAAATACTTTACTTTCTGCGAATAGATTTTCGGTTGGATATCTATAGAGTTTGCCCATTATTAATTTTAGAAATCTTTTTTGGATTATTTCTAACGGTGTTAAGTGAACCTTTAAAGCAGAACCCCAAGCTGTTATTGCATATCTCAGGTGACTTTCAACAAGTGCTGAATATAGTTTTTTTAACTCATGCTGCGGTAGGCATTTACTAAGCTGTTTAAATTTATGTAAAATTGACTGTAACTTTTTAACAATGTAGTTTATCTGGATATCCCATTTTAAATGTGTATCGATATGCACTCCCAAGTATTTCATTTCTGAGACCGATCGTATATCTATTAAGTTAGCACTTGTAGGAAATTCCAAAGTTTGAAAAGGAGAAGCCCCTGTGACATTACAACTAAAAGGTAGAAATTTTGTTTTGTCCAAGTTAACAGTTAAAAGTTTGTTATCAAGCCAATTTTTTATAATGGTGAAATCTATTTCTACTTTTTTCTTTAGCTCTAACCAATTGTTTGCCTCATAAAAAATTGCGGTGTCGTCGGCATAACCAATTATATATCCAGATCTATTTAATTGAAATATATCATTTATATACAAATTGAACAACAAGGGTCCCAAAACTGTACCTTGGGGTACGCCACACTCTATGTATTCAAAATTGCTATATTCATTACCTATTTTAACTAGCTGTTTTCTCTCATTCAGATAACTCCTAAATATTTCTAGGCAATTTCCTCTAATTCCAATATTTTCCAAAGTTTTCAGCAACAGGCGGTGATTAACCGTGTCGAATGCTTTACTTAGGTCTATAAATAGACAAAGACAGGGTTTTCCTTTTTCTAATGATGAGTGGATCTTCTCCGTTAGTTCTAGTATAGCATCCTCAGTTGAAGTATTTTCTTTAAATCCAAACTGTTGCTTGGATATTAGGTTATATTTTTCTATAAAGCTAATTAATCTTTTTTTTAGGATTTTTTCTAGGATTTTTGATAAATGAGTTATAAGAGATATGGGCCTATAGTTATTAACTGATGTTTTTTCTCCATTTTTATATATGGGGCACACTATTGTTTCTTTGAACGATTCAGGCCAAGTCCCATAGTCTAGACATCTATTTATTATGTGTTCTAGTGGGTCTACAATATACTTTGTAATTGATTTAATATATTCTGCTTTTATATCATCTATTCCGGGAGATTTATCATTTTTGAGTTCTTTAATTATTTCAGTTATTTCTTTCTTATCTGTGTGATTTAAAACTATTGAATTTTGTAAAATAGTGCTGTTAAATTTTGTTTTTGTCTGCGAATGTCTGTCTATTTTTTTAGCAAGAGTGGGTCCCATATTTATAAATTTTAAATTAAATTCCTTTGCAATGCTTTTATTCTCAGTGAGTAAGACTCCATGTTCGTTTTTTATAGGTCCATCTGTTTTAGTTTTAGCTTTTGAACCTGTAACTTCTTGTACAATTTTCCAAAGTTGTCTTGTGTTTGTACTGTCTGACTTAATTAAGTTAGTGTAATATTTCTTTTTAGTAATATTAATTAAATTAGTTAGCCTATTTTTTAGTAAATTATATTGCTGTTTTAGATTATCATTTAGAGGATGTTTTGTTAAAATTTTGAATATACGATTTTTTTCATTTACAGTTTTTAATATGGGGTTTGTCATCCATGGCGCTATTTTGGTATTTTTTCTATAAACTTTTTTCTCCTCAGTGCATAGTTGACTAATATTTTGGATCGTGTTTATGAAAATTTTTGTTGCTATATTTGGATCTTCCTCGCGGTACACGGAGTCCCAAGAAAGACCTTCTAATTTTTTATAAATTTTATCATAGTTCAAATATTTTACTACCTTAGGAATTGAATTATTTATAATTTTATTATCGTTAATAATTATTTGTAATATTACGGTTGAATGATCTGTTATATTTGTTGGAACAATTAGAGGTAGAATCATCTCACTAGATTCGGAATTTTTGGTTTTGAAAAAGATATGATCAAGACAGGATCTACCTCTAGTTGCTTTATTTATAGTCGAAATGTATCCGTGTTCGTTTAGTGTGTTGAGATATTCTGTATTATTGTCATTGTTTTCCAGTAGGTTAATATTAATGTCCCCGACAAAAATGTTATAATCATTGTTTTCTGTTTGTTGTGCGTCGAAGTACGTTTGTAATGTTTTGGCAAAGGCTTTAATATCTGAGGATGGTGACCTGTAGCATGCAGTAATACAAATTATTTTTTTTTCGGGAGTTCTAATTTGAGATTTTATAAATTTAACATTATCTATACATACAATTTTATAATCGGAATCGTAATCATTTTTAATATACATCACTGTGCCGTCGTTTTGGTTAAAGTGGCCTTGATTATAAATTATTGAATATCCCGGTATGTTGTACAGATGAGGATCATGTAGTTGCCATGTTTCTGTCAGTACTAAACAATCACAACTAATGTCCAAATCTTGTAGAAATACTTTGAATTCATCAAGGTTTCTATCAATGCTTCTTATATTATTATGTACAATTTTAAAATTAGCATTCCTATTATTTATATTTAAAACTTCCCTACATTCGTCAATAGTGTCAAGAGTGTAAGTTTCTGGCAAATTCACCTGAAAATCGCGAATGTAAGGGTCCATTTCTTTTTATTATAAATACATTAATTTATTTTGAACTATACTATAATATAACTAAAACCATATAAATAAACAAAAAATAGAAAAGAAAGTTATCTGTTTGAGTTTTTCCTCGATCGTAGATTTTTATCGGATACTTGGTTTTCTATGTTCTTTTCTTGAGTTGATTTTTCGTTCCTTTTGGCGACCTTTTCAATTAATTTTTCTTTGTTTGCAACTTTAATAGGTACAGAGCTATTACTTTTGGGAGTGTCCTTGGAAGTATTGGTATCCGGTAATTTATTTTCTTCGACTATTTGGTTTTGGTTTGAAGTTTGCGCAGCAGGTGTATCTTTACACGGAGTTCTAGGTATAGTGGGTGTTGCAGGTAATTTATTTTCTTCGACTATTTGGTTTTGGTTTGAAGTTTGCGCAGCAGGTGTATCATCACACGGAGTTCTAGGTATAGTGGGTGTTGTAGGGGCACTGTTTGATATGGCGGCATTAAGATATTTGTCAATAGAATTTGTTTCTTCCTGTATTTCTTCTCCGTTCTCTATTTCCATATTTCGCAATTGTTCTACACTGTAAGCTTCATTGTTAATAATAAGCTTACGTCCCTGAATCTTAGCAACACAATTACGTGATCTGGCACTACTTAAATGTTTTCGTAGAATTTTGTTCTCTGCTCTATCTTCGAAATAAAGACAATACAATTTTTTACTTTTGAAAACAGTGTCTTGTATTACTTATATTAGTAAAATTTATAAGATATATAAACCGAAAAGCATTTCACTTTTTTTAGGTGGAGTTGGAGCATGTCATGGTGACGAAGGCAGTCCTTTAGTCATAGATGGTGTCCTAGTAGGCATGGTACAACGTGTACCAATAATATGCGATAATAGTGATCCTACAGTATACATACGAATGAGTAAATACATAGACTGGATACATGACATTATTTAAGTTAAACATGAGAAGCCCACTCAAGCAATCATTTCTTATGAAAAGTTTTAATAAATAATACAATGTGTTGCGTCTTTATTTTATTTTATTTATCACCTAATACCAACAAATAGAATTTTTTTAAGTTTTGTTTTATAAAATGCTGTAATTTCTGCAAAATAGATTGGTATTCTTGAACTCATAATATAAATGTCCCCCATCTGAATAGCAGGTGTACGGCAATAATAGTTCTGATAAATGTATATCAGGAAATAGTTTAGATAAAATCTCCATGAAAAAATGCGGCTTCGCAGGTACTTTCCGGGTTTTTCTAATGAGATATGGTTCCTTTAAATTTGGTAGCGGTTCGAAATGAGAAGACACAATTGTTTCTGGATATTTCGAAAGGATATCGGATACAGCCATGTTACATGGAAATCTACAGCTTGCTGACTTGTCACGTCTACCTGAAAATTAAAATCCAAAAAGAAATAAAATTACAATCACCTAGTTACAAAAGTAATACTGTTTTAATATTCCATAGAAAACTAAATCTTTACAAGCTGCTTTAGCAAAATTTTGCTGTCAATATTCACGGGTAAGATACCGATACCTATTTTTGTTGTATCTAAATTTTGAGTATTTTTGGTACCAATTTGTCGAGACATAATTTTGTCATTAATAATCTGAATTAATATTCTTTGATTATTAATAACAAAATTGTCGAGACAAATTGCAAAATACACGAAAAATTTAGTAACAATAAAAATAGGCGCTAATTTATTAAGGTCAAGATATATTTAGTATGATTATTTCTAGAGCCCTAGTTGTAACTAAAAAAAAATAAATACACATAAAAATAACTTTTATTTCATAAATTAGAAAAAATTAGTTTAAATTAAAAGAACAATTATTGTAAGTGACATTTCCAGTTTGCATAATTTGGGACATTGGTCCTGCTTTTGACGAAGTAGCGGTATTCATGGTAGCAGCAGAAACTTGACTTAAAAACAGTATTCACAAAAGTGAAAGCTTGACTTTCTGTATGTCCTCGAAGTTGGTTAATAACACTTTGATGATGCTGGTCATCTATCTGTATGGTTGAATAGATGATGAACTAGAATGATCAGGTATTTTAATCAATTGTTGCTCCGGTACACCTCATTTTGCAAGTTGAGAGAATGCTGTCGAGCGACAAGAATGGTTATTAATCTTTAAACGCTTGGTGTCTAATCCAATAGACTCTGCACCCAATTTGCTCCGTTTAGAAAACTCATTCTTTCCAATAGGTGAATTTTTGTACCAGAAAGAGTAGAAATAAACGTGAACATGTGAATTGTGGACCTCGTTTTTCAATCAATTTTTTAAATAATCTAACTAAGCAGTACATTGTGGAACACTATAAATGAATTTTTAACAGAACCTGAACGTACACCAATAAATATAATAAGCAATAATAAACATTAATTAATTGCTAATCCTATTAAAATAGCAGAATTGTTTAATGAATATTTTATAACAGTAGGTAAGAAATTGGCAGACAAAGTAAATAGAAATCCAAACTACATTGAGACGAAGAAATCATGCACACATTCAATATTTATATATCCCACCGATGAAAAAGAAGTTAAGCAGATCATAATGCAATTAAAAAATAATAAATCCCCGGGCTGGGATGGTATAAAAGCGGAAGTATTGAAGGGAATTAGTGATCATATTACAAAACCAATAACATATTTAATTAATTTATCACTAGAGAAAGGCCATTTCCCATCAGCCTTTAAACTTGCCACAGTAACCCCAATTTTTAAACAAGGAGAAAGAACAGTTACGGCTAATTACAGACCGATTTCAATAATTTCCTGCCTGGCCAAAGTATTCGAAAAAATTATAGAGAAGAGGTTAAACAAATTCTTGGAAAAAAACCAGTTGTTATCTGATTCGCAATACGGTTTTAGACAAAATAGATCTACACAAGATGCTATAAAGGTACTTACTAGAAAAATCTATAATAGTCTTGATAAGTCCATGCCATCAATTGGCGTCTTTATAGATTTGGCAAAGGCATTCGATACTATAGATCATTCAATTTTACTAAATATTCTAGAAAACATGGGTATAAGAGGTACTTCACATAAACTTTTTAAAAGTTATCTGACTGATCGAAGTCAAAAAGTAAAAATAGGAAATAGTTAAAGTGGCGCAAAATCATTACTTGTGGGGTGCCCCAAGGGACGGTGTTGGGACCTATACTTTTTAATATTTATTTAAATAACCTTTTCCTTCTCAACACAAACTGTGATATTATGAGTTTTGCGGATGATACGGTGTTGTTTTGTGAAGATAACAACTGGTTTAACCTAAAGTTAAAAGTAGAAGACGACTTGAAAAAAATTAAAATGTGGTTTGATTTCGGACTTCTATCAGTTAATTTAAAAAAAAATTGCCATTTAGTTCCTACAGCAACGCCCTACCTAGTTAAAACCTCGAAATTGGAAATCAAATTGTAGTTTCACCTGCAAGTAAAATTAAATATCTTGGCATAATAATAGACAATAATTTAAGATGGGATCAACATATAGAATACCTTCATAAAAAAACTACGCTATATACTATTTAAATTTAAACAAATATGCGGCATATTAGATTTTAAACAAAAAATAGTTATATATAAAAATTTAGTTGAATCTCACCTTAGTTATGGAATAATAGCTTGGGGTGGCGTATCTAAAACTTACCTATCAGCTCTCGAAGTTTTACAAAAGCGATTTCTAAGAACAATCCTTAACGCTGGTTACGACTGCCCTAGCAACGTCTTATACCGTAATAGTAGCATATTTGACATTAGACAATTATATTTTATAAACACTGCAATGATTACATATAAACATAAAACAGAATTGCAAACTCTATGTCATAAATATGCTACTCGAAATAAAGGCGCGTACATTACCCCTTAGATGCAAAAGGCAATCGGACAAAGACATTATTTATATTTAGGTCCAAAAATTTATAACTTGTTACCTCCCGATATTAAGGTGGAAACCAGGCTATTTGTATTTAAACAAAAAATAAAATATTATGTTCCTAATATGCCACGGGATGTTGTTCATGATATTATTGAACAATAAAAATGTAAAAAAAAAAATATATGTATATTATGTCTAAATAATTTTTTTTTTGTCTTAAAAATATTTTTGTACAATTTATTTTACTATATTTATTTGTGAATGACCACTCACAAGTAGGCTTGACCTGCTTCGTGGTTTTTGTTTCTTGTTTATTTGTGCTTTGTATTTTTTAATATGTATCTTTTATATTTTCAAATAAACATTATTATTATTATTATTATTATTATTTATTATAGTATTGCGGATTTTGAGTATTTGGAATCAACCACTATCTGCACATTTTTTATCTCCTCCTTGGCCAATTTTCGTAAAAATAGGATTATATTCTAACCTGCAGTTTCTTTACCTTCTTCAGAGGTTTCAAATTTAAAATAATCTGTTAAACATGTTGCACCTTCTCTACCGCGCTAAGCTAATTCCACGGAAGCCAAATAATAGAAAATCTTTTGGAGACCGTCTGGAGTTTGTTCATCCAATTTGTCAATAATATCGTGTATATGTTGTTACGGTTCACAATCCATATGAATATACTGGGATGCTTTTGCCACAAAAATAATATATATAGTATTGACATTTAACTTTTAATTTACTTTAATTTATTATTTAAGTATAATAGGAAAAAATCTATTAAAAGATCACTCCGTATACTCCGTTTTGGGTAGAAGTTTAATGGATCTCCCATTTCTCATGTTCCGTGAGTTAACTAGAATGAAAAGATACCTTTTATAAGTCCATTGTCAAATTGGAAATTGTAGAAGTTTAACCTTTTATCAAGTATTTCTTTCTTGTTTTGAAGATTTGTTCTGGTCCTCTGTAGATATATTTTCCATTGTTTTCTCAATTAGTTCTAGAAGTCTAACAGAAAATAGAAACGATTTAAATTAGATGAATGGTTTCAGATTTATTTTCTTTTGTTTATTTACATTTATTCTGACATTAGGTCATTTATTTTAGACAGCTGTTTTATATTTTGAAAAATTCAATAATTTAAACCCCAGATAATCTGGAATTTCTTGGAATTAGGTTTGTGAGAAATTGGCTATGTATATATTTTTATGTTACCTGACATGATTTAATATTATTTCCTGTGGAGGTAATTTTAACTTGTTTTTATGCATATCCTGCTATCATTACTTTTCTGGTACACCTTTAAGTAGCATGTGCTTTTGAGGAACTTTTTTAAAGGATTCATATGCTAGAAAAGAAATCAATTGAAAACATAATTACTTATACCGTTGGTTGGTAAATTAAGTAAACTCGTAAGAGGATTTGGTTTTCAATAAACTTAATAACTCACATCAAATAAGGCCTCATTTCATCTTCAGGTAACGTAAAATCTTAAACCACCACTTATTTTCATTTCCTAATATTCGATTTTATAACTAAACTAGTATTTTGTATATTTCAGGCCTTTTCCCTTTCTCCTTTTTTTTTTTTCTTTCTTAACTTACGCTTTTCGTTTACCATTTCGTATTCTGGTGGTGGATTCATATATCTGGACATTACTTTGAGACGAGTTAGTTTTATTTGTGGAATCAACTGTTGGATACTACTACTAGATACCCAGTTACCATTTACATCCCTGGGCCTCAATTCTCGACTTCACCGGAAAATTTTCCCATGGATAAATATTCCCATGCTTATGTTCCAGTGGTATTATAAAATGGTATTCTCGACTAGGTTAGGAACCTTTTTCCTATGGGAATTTCGATTATTCGTATGTCTAACGTATGTCGGGTATTAAGTATGTAAATATTGGAAACTGACCAATCATAATTAATATTATATTTCAATACTTTCAAGTAGTAATGTTGGGATCATTGATTATATCGTCAACTTTTGACTATTGTTTTGCCACTTGCCATCTTGTCAGAGAAAACAATCAACCCCCTTTTTTCAGAAAATAACGTGAAAATATATCATGTGCTGAACCTAGTACAAGGGGCACAATAAAGCTCAAACGAAGAGTAGCTGCTACAAGGTTAACTAAAACCTTGAATACTAGCCGAAATATTGAACGCATGTTACAAAATAAAAACTTTAATAAAGAAAATTATTATGACAAAAAATTCAAGTTATTAGAGAGAAATGTTTTGGCAAAAGAACGAATAACTTGTGCCTTGGAAAAAATAGCAGAAACAGAGGAATTTTAAGGATATTTAAGAGTGTTCAATATTTTAGCTTCAAGTTTTTTAACATCTCATTATGTTATTAACAGTCGCTATTTATTTTGCGTAATAGAACAAAATTTATTCTGAAATAGCCTATTCATATTAATGAAACAAAATTTATTCTGGGATTGCTTATTCTAGAAAACTTGCGTTGATCATATTTGA